TAGCAACCCAGAAAGCGAAAGAAAGCCATAAACAGAAGCAATCAAGCAATGGCGGGATTTGGATATGTAAAACCCTACAAGATGAGGTAAAAGTAAGAAAAGTAAAAACAAAAAGAGAAACAGTAGAAGAGGAAGACGAGAAAAAGCTCGAATCGGAAAAAATGGGGGAAATGGAGGGAAGAAACAGTACCAAGGAAGAAGCGAGTTAGAGAAGAACGACGCCACTGTTCATTAGGGCTCAAAATCTCTCTCACAAATGTTGCGGTTACGACGGAGACAGAGCTGATGATTCGACTCGACGGGATGAGTAAAAAACCTATCGTACAATTTCAATTTCTTCCAAGTAAAAAATCGCATTTGCTCGGCCCACTGTGACGTCTCTCTCGGCCCATCTTATATTTCCACGTCAAAAGCAACATATCTCAAGTAATTCTATATTCCAATAAATATTTTAAACAAATCAGATTATTTTGCAACTAAAAAAATCAGATAACGAATTCTTTTTTTAATGTGAAGGAAATGAAATGATACACCTCTCTGGAAGTTCACGAGGTCTTAAAGCAAGGAAGTAAAACAAAAACCTCATTTGCTTCTTCTTTTTTTATAAAATGCTTCTTGGAAAACAAATCCTAAACCTCAAATAACAACACAACATCATTGCCCTTTGTTTTTGTTTATCTTCCGAACTTCACCAAAAAGCCTAAACTGAAATAGAATAAATTTCAACCGAAATCCTGCAGCTGAAACCACTACTGCTGCAATCTGCTCTGTGCGCCAGGCTTATTGTGTGCCGGTTTTTATTCGGTCTTTTAACCAACTGTTAATCCGAAACCAAACTTGTAGTCCTTCTTCTTATGATCCAGCTGAAAGGAACAAAACGAAACTAGAGTTTTAAAGGAGAATCAATACATGACAGAGGAAATCTAAGTAGAAGATCATTGTGTACCTCTGCAGAAAGAAGAAAATTGAGTCCCATACTCAATCTTTCTTCAAGGAGAGCGGATGCAACACCGTTGGAATCGATCTTTCCCCGCACACGAGCCTGAAACAAAACCCAGATTATTACAACTATACAGATTTACAATGTTCTTTTGTTGCTTGTTTTCGATTCACTTACAATCCAGAAAAAAAATGGCAATGTTACTTACCTGTCTAAGAATATAGTCGTAACCCACACTAGCTGTTACATCTCTTGAAAAGTAGTTGTACATGAAGTCAGTGGCAAGTGAAACCTGTGTGTGTCATCACTGAATGTGTCATGATTTGTCTCTTAACTCTATAAGGTTTTAAGATGCAATCAAATGAGAACGGTACATCACCTTATCTGAAATCTTCTGAACATAGTTCATAACAACAGCACCCGTGCTAGCAACTTGTGCAGAAGCAACCTGTTCATCAAGAAAAGTTCTTAATATGATGGGTATATAAACTGAAAGTGTTCAAAATTCTGATCTATTTTCTATAAACTGAGTTTTTGAACCTCGCACATTGTCTAATAAACCAACTGAGAAGAAGCACTACCATTTTATCCGTCTCGTATCTAGCAGCATAGCCTATTCCCGACTTTCGAGGCACACCAGCCCAGAAAACTTCACCACCCAAAGATAAATGGTTTGTAACACTCTGTACACAAAAAATATGATAATTTCATGAATAGAAAAACCGATACATACCATACTTAAAAGTTTAACTATTACTGATCAAAGAAAGACTGCCCACGGATAAAAGATAAAATTTTTGACTATGACCACAGAAACTAAGCATGACCATAATCACAAAGTCTAATAGAACGACTTAAGGTTCATATCTCATCTATGTCACAGCTAGACGAAAAGGCAAACACTAGAAGGTTAAAAAACTCAGAGATGGGTAGTAACCTTTCCCTGTCTATTTGACTACACGGGGAAATCTACAAAGTTGCAGCTGTAGCAAGGGACAAGTCCAACTTGTACTTTAATACAGCTGCAACTTTAACAACTACTGATCAAAGAAAGACTCCCCACGGATAAAAGATAAAATTTTAATTATGACCACAGAAACTAAGAAAGAGTCCCCACGGAAAAAAGATAAAATTTTAATTATGACCACAGAAACTAAGCATGACCATAATCACAAAGTTTAATAGAACGAGTTAAGGTTCGTCTCTCATCTATGTCATAGCTAGACGAATCAAAGGAAACTACAAGTACAAGGTTAAACACTCAGAGATGGGTAATAACCTTTCCCTGTCTATTTGACTACACATGGAGAAATCTACAAAGTTGCTGCTGTAGCACGGGACAAGTCCAACTTACCTGGATATAAGTTGCTCCAATTAGGGCACTCTGTCCAAGTTGAAGCTGAGCTCTGTAGTCAGATCCCTACATAAATGTGAGAAAAAAAAACAGTTCAAAAAACTGAATGAACCAAATACTGTATAAAAAGGTACATCACAAGGATAGGAAATCATTAAATACAGTGACTTTTCTTACCATGTAATCAAAGTTGAACATTGCTTGTGACTGATGTTGCTCATTTGTTATCTGGTAAAGAAAGTAAACAAAAATGACAAACATAATATTATAGAGAGAATGAGCGTAATATCCAGCTACACCTAGAATAAAAATATTGTCTAAAGTTGCGGTATTTACCTGAGCATTCGCCTTCACAACTAACTTCTCAGTTAAATCTGCTTTCACTCTCGCACTTAGTCTACCATCAGTCATTACCCTTCCGATGAGCAACAACTGCATATTTACTTTGCCATTTTCATATCTTTTTCATGACAATAAGAATATGAAAACAGCTGATTACCAAAAATATTACCTTTGGGTCATAATAATTGGCACCAAACTCATAATGGGCTGTTGGGATTTTGATAGTTTCAGATGACTGAGAAGGAATTTCGGTTGGCCCCATCATTACACTGTTTAAACATCAATATACATGCTTAGTGAAGAACCCAAATAAATGGATGGCACACCAATAACTAAAAACATAATCTACTACCTATGACTGAGAGAAAACTTCTGATTCAACGCCCTGGTAAAGTCAAAGCGTAAACCCTCAAAATTGTCCGACCTTAAAGACACTGCAAAGCAAAATCAAAGCAGTTAAAAAACAAAGAAAAGCAAAATCTAAATGCTTCACCACACATACTAAAACCTGACATTAAAACAGTAAGAAACCATTAAAATAAAGAAGTATGAACAAGTTTAGGAGCAGCTATTAAGACATCAGGAACTTTATGTGGCCACAAGCCATCTGAGAAATGAATTTTGACTAACTCTGACGCAGGCAAAATCAAAGAACAGAATCTAAAACCAGATCAATTGAACAATCTTAATCATATTATATCATTTCCACTGTATGTAAATCTCCTAAGACCACGAAACGATACATGGACAACAATTAGAAACGACTAAAGTGCTCTACTTTACCCAATTCAAACAAAAGAGAGCTAAATCTCAAAAAGGACAATACAATGCACTCAAAGCCACACTCATTTTATCTCCAGATCAAGAAACCCACAAATTGAGATATCAAGGAATACAATTTAAGTTAAAATGGAAGCAAAAGAAAGAAGACGATTAAGAAACTAGATCGGAAAATGGATTTAGAAAATACTGAACTGAGAGCTTCACGGTGGAGTTCCTCATAGGGAACAGGACAAGGGAGGTTGGAGTAATCGACTTTCTCATCGACTTTAATCTTTGCATCGACTTGTGCCGCCGTAAGAGGTGGGAAAATATCCGCCATCGCCGCCGCTACCGCTTTTGAATATCCTTTACGGCGACAAAATGGAAAGAAAAAGGAAGAAGAGTAAGCGAAGTAAGGGTTTTCTTCAGCTTGGAGGCGAGAGTCTTGGCAAGGGTTTTGTAATTGTACCACTTCTGGTTTTTTCCGGTTTGGTCTTAATCTCGAACCGTGTCGGGGCCCCTCGTTCGCCGGTCTTGCACCTAAATTAATTCCAACCTCTTATAAATAAATACACACTAAAAAGAAAGGAACCCTAAAAGCAGATCTATTCAATCGTATCATCATGGACGGCGAAACATCCTTCACCCACGAAATCGACTACAATCCTAAACCCGAAGATGCTGGCACAATCAAAATCTATGCGAGTATTGTTGGCGTCGTTGATCATGTACTAACAACGTACCCAATTATATATCGTTCCGCCGACGATTACGATGCAGATTATCGTTCTGGTGGCAACCAACTTCTGAAAGACTTCTTGAAGGATGCTGGGATTGATACACAGGTCTTGTGTGACCTCTATTTATGTGTCGATGAAATTGTGTTTCTCTCGGGTCGGTATACTCCAGATTGTGCTTTGTCTGTAAGGATGACAATTGATCCCATTCCTCCTCAAATTGAGCAAGAAGAGGAGGTTGTTGCTGCGATTCCACCAGTCTCATGGAATCAGACCAATAATAGACCCGTAAGCAAGCTCGCTCTCATGTCCCTAGACCAGAAAATCTACGTCAAGAACAAGAATAGCTCTAAATGTGATGATGACACTTGCTCTATTTGTTTAGAGGAGTTTACTACCGGAAAAAGACTAGTTATCTTACCATGTGGCCACTTGTTTGATGCTTTTTGTGTCGCCGACTGGTTTAGTATCAACCATGTTTGTCCATTGTGCCGGTTCGAGTTGCCATATGAAACATGAAACCGCTGATTGATACAACTCCCTAGTGTTTTTATTTATCCTTTTTTTTTTTTTTTGGGCTAAAGTGTTTTTATTTATCTTACAAGTCAGTTTGTATTAAAATGACAAATTTTTCCATTAACTTGCCTTTCCATTGTTGGGTGTGTATACAGTCATTGACCTTTTTCGCTAGTGTTAATTCACCAAACAAACCTTTTGTCAAGGACCATGGCCATGGGTTTTATACTCTTTCACTAATTAAACTGTCAAATATAAAAAAATGAACCAAGGACAATCAGTCTTTGACACTTCTTACGCTATAATTACACTATTACAACTCCAATGCTCAACGTGGAAGAGGAAACATTTGATTACTTAGCTTTTATAAGCCTACAATCTCATACAAGAAAACTAATCTATGCACACTACTTTGTTCTTTGCATCTTGATGTTGAGATGGTAAAGTCCTGAGAGAGTTTTGTATAATATTGACGGCGAATAGCTTATTGCAGGCTTATTCTCAAGTAGGTTACAAGAAAAAGTATTAACGGCATAAGTCATCTTCTATATAGTTACTTTGCACTAGTAGTGGAATATGATTTCTATTTTTCGATGATCTCCCTAAATCTTTTCTTGATTGATAACAACAATGCAGGTCCTAGAAGTGGCCACGTCGTTACTATAGCAATGTATGCCAATAGCCAAATCGACTTCCGGCTGTATCTCGAAAGCTCATCCACCCTCTTCTTCAAAGGACCAAGTAAACTGCTATAAACTTGTGGAGTATTGACCTTATGTGGATGATTACTTGTCTTTTCATCAATTTGAGCACTATCCTCTTGTTCTGCATCAGCTCTTCTTGTGTCCACTTCACTTGCAGCAACAACCATCCTGTCTTCTCTAGCATCCACGAATGGTCCTTGATCAATCAAAGATCCCACTGGTTCGGGGATGATCTGCATCTGAAAGAATGATATGATGCATGTCTTAGAAATAGACTAGGAGTTGATGATGTCATGGAAATGGACTAAAACTCATTTCCCTCATACCTTCCGTCTTCTGTCTGCAAAGGGGCTGGAGAGTAGCACTTCAAAATATTCTTGCACAGCCCTTGCCCACCTATACATTACAGTTTCACATATTTTCGGTTACACTCCTAAGAGAAAGTCCTTGTGAGATGAGTATCTAAGAGCGTGGGTTTACGCAGATTGATTACCACATGCTTGTTGCTGTCATCCCTTCATAGTAAGCAAGATGACCACCATGTGTTGTGGTTGCCAGAACTATGTTTTGTTTGCCCTGCAAAATTTGAGACATTGGAATATCAGTTTCATGATACATGAAGACCCATCGCAGCGTGCTACTGAAAGATACAACCAAGAAACTCATCAAATTTTGCCAACAATGCCTAAAGCTGTTTCACTTCCTAATTTAGCCACGAATGAAACCCTCAATATAACAGAGAAACTACCAACTCCGTTTAACAGAAATATTACCAACTCAATTTACCAAAGGTAATCTTGTGAAAACTTCTATAGCACCCAAGAACAAAACCAACAACAAAACCAGATAAGAAAGACTTTCTAGAGCATCTCCTACTCTCCCATATGAAAACCAATTCCCCAAATAATCAGATCTTCTCAAATCCCCTAGTTAGACTACTGTTCCCTCGATCTAACTTCTGAATGTTAGTGAGAAGACGTGGCATTGCTTAACAGCTAAAGTACTCTTTCTGAAGACTTATCAGTGGCGGTACAAGGCTACAACATAGGAGAGCCGGTGTAAAACTGGGTCAACCAGAATTTTGATACAAATTAATCTAGTCCATCAGCTCTGGGGTCTTACCTACATTCATCCCAAGGAATAGCTTCCCTATTACAAACTGGATCGTCCAAAGCACTGGTACAAAGGAGTGGAACAGAGACATTTCCCACATATTGCGCACTGCTTGAACGTCTATAGTATGTATCAGTTGTCTGCATCATTAAAGATTGGATTTTCTACTGAAAGAGGGGATATATAAACAAAGGGTAAAGAGAATATGAAACAAACTGCACATCGAATTTGGCAACAAGTCTGGTGGCGTAGTTGTCAAACTCTCGAACTGAACGTGACTAAAACAAGACACAAGATGAATGGTGAATCTTTTAAGTCAATTTACTTGATTTGGCAAATAGATAGAAAATCAGAACCCACCTTCTTAATGCCTTCCCAATCGGCTATACGAGAAATGATGGAATGGTGCCTACAAGTACAACCATGTGTAAGGGAACAAGAAAGATGTAACTAAAGCAAGCAAAAGTAGGTAAGGATACAAAGTTAACAATACAAGACAAGAATTTAGACATATAATTGCGCGTAACCTTGTAGACCGATAGTAAGCATTCTGTCATACAATTTTTGCACGAGTTTGCGGTTGATAAATCGATCACATATCTGCAAAGAATATAATTTTAAACAGTAAGGCATGACGGTTTTCTTTTCTAGATTCTCTGGACCGATAATTATACTAGAAAAGACAATTTTTACACGGGTTTGCTTCATTCTCTTTTCCTTATACAACATTTTTTGACTAATATTGGAGTTTTTGATGTTGAGGCAGAAAGTCCTGTGAGATCTTTATATAGCATTGATGATAAATGGCAGAAACTCCTAAGTTTAAAGAAAATCCATTGCATATTCTGACAATCGCAGTTTTGAGTTACGAGTAACATAGGCATTAAAAAACATGACATAGCTAAAGCAAGCATTTCTAAATAAGCAGCAAAATTATTAGAGCAAAGAAGTCACCAAGTCAGCTACATCAGAAATCACCTTGGAATTGGAAGCTGTAAGTGACGAGGATGCTGGAAACTCCTTCCGAGAAATAAGATTATAAACTAAACATTATCCCACTGTAAAAATTTCAAACTGCACTGATCTCATTCTCAAAGTCAGTTTAGAAAGCAAATATACATATTGCAAAACAATAAGTCATAATACACAGATCCTAAGATCAATGAATCTTTCTTTTTTTTTTACTTTTTAGAAACAAAACAAACACCAATAGAAAACTCAATTACATGAACCACAACTCCTAGAAGTCTATATCACCTAAGCCACGATAACTCAAAAACATCCAAGTCACATTTTGTCCACCTCTATTGCCAAAGTAAAATCTTCATATCGCTTATGAATATCCATTTACAGGTTGACGCTCGATTTGATAATCTAGTAGTTTTTTGAAAGGTCAAGGAAGACTAAATGCAAGGTAAGATTCAGATTTAGCTATAACATCCAACAAAAAAAGACCCAGAAACTATATAGAGAAAACAATGGAGATGAATGTCAAAGAGAAAAAGATTTAACTTACACGAAGATATGCAGAGAGAGATGATTCCGTAGAACTTTTAGACTGGAGGGGAGACATTTGTGCTGGAGCAGTAAAGAGCTCAGTTTAGTTGACGAGAAACAAAACGAGTATCCATGCTGCTTCTATTAGCCTATTAGGAACCAATTGTAATGAAATAACTAGCTTTTACCTGGTCACAAAGATGGCAGTTGGATTGCCCGGAGATGGAGGATTCTGCGTCAGCAGTGAAGCATGTGGACCAGCTTTTGAAACATCATCAGGGTCACTTCACTTGCAGAATATATTTCAACCTCTTGCCGCTTGATCAAGTCCATGTTACTCTGAAGGACTTCAATCTCTCCAAAAGGCAACCTCAACTTTAGAGCCTGAGGGCCAATAGATATTGCCTCGTCCTTCTTAAATTTAAGGAAAGGCATGCAAAGCTTCTGAATTTGTTTAAAGTTTTCTGATTGTCCCTCCTTCTGCAATATCTCCCTTCGTTCTGCAAGTATCTCTGCATCAGGGGCAAAACGACAGGTTTGTTGGACAAATTTGCTTTGGCAGAATCTTGAGGCAGTGAGCTCTCCATCCATCGAGCTGCTCATTCAAATATATGAGGCCTTTTAACATCCCCTCTGGCACTGCTGTAACTTGAGCAGCTTTCTTAGCAGCCTTCTTGGAACCTAAGAGCTGTTTTTGTAGAAGCTTTCTCATTAAGACTATAGAATCTTGCAAATATTTGTTAGCACTCTTGAGAACCAAATCTGGCTCATCTGATGTAGGCCAGCCTGCTGTTACCACACAACCTTCCTTCTTAAAAAGTTTCCTCCATACATATTCTGCAAACTGGGGACGGATTGGTTCAATGAGGTGTGTTTGCACATCCATGAAGTGCAGTATCAAATCATGGTTCATACCGCCACTGCCACAAGAGAGTCCATACTCATCTCGTGCAGCTTGTAAGTCGTAAAACCCATTCTTAAGTGCCTCCCTAAACAAACAATCTTTGTACGCTTTTTCAGTCAATCTGATAGCAATGTTCATGTCATTTTCAAACACTTTATCAGCATATCACAACTCTCCTCCTGAGTTTCAGGAGCTTGCTTGATGGTATCATCTTGAGCAGAGAACACAGGAGGGTTACCAAACTGTTGAATCTCACGAGAAAGCTTATCCGCAGAAGCCTTAATTGGCATACCAGTACAGTGGAAACCAAAAGGAAGAAGCACATTGGCATCTCTTAGTCTATGGTAAGCAGAAGCAAAATCAACCTTAGAGAGTGAGAAGGCATGGCCAGTGTGTAGATAACCATTCATACAAGGGAAAGGAAAAGTGGAGAAGAACTTTTCTTCTGGCTTAGGAAGATTCTCACGAGATTCAGATTTGAATACTTCATCATCTTCCCACCATTTTCGAACTGCTACCTCAATTTCAAGAAGACGATCTCTCCTTGCGTAGCTTTTAGTTTCAGATGACGCCATTAAGTGACAGTGCCTGCCCCAAACATAAATCAAACCTCAGTTCTTGCATAAAGATGATCGAAACAAGAGCAATTTGAGTCGTCGAGTGAATTACAAAAACAAAATTGGAATCTCTCTTAGTGGAAAAGCAAAAGGAGAAGATTTGAATACCTCGGAGATAAAATTCCAGGAATCACGAATCGAGTCCACCACGAAAGCAATCGGAGAGACTGAGTCAGTGGGGATCCTCTTCTCAGTAGCAGTCCAAAGATTCAGAGTTTACCCCTTTTTTTTTTTTTTCCTTTCAATTTTAGAGATGTTGAGCCAATAATTTTACGAGTTAGTTAATTAATCAAATAAAATATTTCTACCAAAAAAAAAAAAAAAAATTAATCAAATAAAATACGAATACGAGAAATTATTTAAGTGTCATTTACATTTCTTTTTACATCCCTAATCTTTTACTCACCGGTGACGCGAATTTAGGGTTTACGTTGCGTTCCGTTAAGGTCAAAGAGATTTTAAAACAAAACCCTCCGTGTCTGAAGATCACGATACGAGTTCACCGCCGGAAACAACAAGAGGCGCGAGTCGATCAAGGTCAATTTTTTATATTTCTTCCCCGATCTTTTACAGGTTTTGATCATCGTCATGGCTTGACCAGAGTTCCATAGTTTTTGGAAGTGCCCATCATCTATTCTGTCTTTTAATTCTTTTTCAGATCATGGATTTGGAAAAACTACTTTCTGAATCACAAAAGCTTGCCCAAGAAGAATGTCATTCAGAAGTCAGTCCTCTGCATCTTGCGGCCACTTTGATTTCAGATAAAAATGGAATTTTTTTTCAAGCTATCACTAAGCTTGGAGGGGAAGGTGCTGTTTCATCAATTGAAAGGGCTCTTAAGAGAGCTTTAAAACAACAAATACAGTCTCAACCTCCTACACTCTCTTCTGATGTTGCACAAAAGAAGGGAAAGAAGAAGAAGAAACGCATTCTTGAAAACTCTGCAGTATTGTTGTTGAGAAATGGTGCCAAAAGTGTGGATGATTTGATTTTGGGTCTTCTTGAAGATAGATGTATCATGGAAGCCTTGAAAGAAACTGCTGTTCAACCGAAAATGTTGATGCGTGTGGTGAAACAACTCCGGGAACCAAATTTTCTGGCCCTGCACACATACGGAACAGACTTTGTGGCGACATCACTCCTCATCGACCCTGTCATCGGGAGAGAAACAGAGATCGATAACGTAATACGTGTTCTCTTAAAGAAGAATAAAAACAATCCTGTATTGGTTGGAGAACCCGGCGTTGGGAAAACTGCTGTCATTGAAGGGTTGGCTCAAAGGATACGCTTAGGAAATGTTCCAACACCTCTGCAAGGTATAAGAATCTTTGCTATTAGTTTAGTTGCATTAGCAGCGGGGACTGGGAATAGAGGTGATTATGAAGAGAGGCTGCTAGGTGTTATAAAAGAAGTAGAAGAAGCTAATGGGAATGTCGTCATGTTTTTTGATGAGATTCACATGCTCCTTGGTGCCGGTGGTGACGGTTCAAATGATGCTGCGAATATGCTCAAGCCCATGCTCGCTAGAGGTTCGTCTCGGTGCATTGGCGCAACAACTATTGAAGAATACCAAACCTACATTCAACGAGATGCCGCATTTGAAAGAAGATTCCAGAGAGTAAACGTGCGGGAGCCCACTATCTCTCAAACTATCGAAATACTTCGCGGGCTGAGAGACATGTACGAGAAATATCACAAAGTGAAGATAGAGGATATGGCTCTCGTGTTTGCCGCACAACTCTCTTCCCGATATATCACAGGTTTGATGGATTAGTCTGATTTTGTAGTAGTGTCTATTGATGTTCAGCTGATGTTTAACTCTTGTATTCTCGTGTGTTTTTGTGTAGATCGTTATTTTCCAGACAAGGCTATTGACGTGCTTGACAATGCATGTGTGAATGTTCGAGTGACACTCGAAGGGAGCTCTGTTGGACCGGCTAATATTTCTGAGGCGGTAAGCCAAATGAGTGGAATCCCGGTTTCTAAAATTGGCCGAACCGAGAAAGAGAATCTTATAGGCCTGGCAGAAAAGCTCCACGAGAGAGTGGTTGGACAAGATGAAGCAGTAAATGTGGTTGCTGATTCGATTCTGAGATCAAGGACCGGAATAGGAAGTCCAGGGAAACCGATTGGATCGTTTCTTTTCCTCGGGCCTACTGGAGTAGGCAAAACGGAGTTGGCCAAGGCTGTGGCCGAAATTCTGTTTCAGGGGGAGAAAGGACTCATCCGTATAGATATGACAGAGTATATGGAAGAACACACGGTTTCCAGACTCATTGGGGCACCACCGGGGTGAGCTTATTTCTCTAACCTTTACTTACTCCTCTCTCCAAATCAATCCATACTTACTCACTCGAGCAGCGTCTCTGATTTTTGTTTCTGCTTTTATTCAGGTATGTTGGCTATGAGAAAGGTGGACAGCTTACAGATGCTGTCCGTAAAAGACCGTACTGTGTCATACTCTTGGATGAGGCAGAGAAAGCCCACACAGCAGTTTTCAACACACTTCTTCAAGTGTTTGATGATGGCAGATTAACCGACGGGCAAGGACAGACTGTGGACTTCAAGAATGCAGTGATAATTATGACCTCAAATCTTGGTGCAGAGAAACTGGCCTTAGCCCTTAATAGTGAGATTTCAATGTCAGTTGCCCGGGGACGTGTGATGGAAGATGTCAAACGGTTTTTCAAACCTGAACTTCTGAATAGGCTGGACGGTGTAGTGATCTTTGAGCCTCTCTCTCACAAGGTGAGGAGGAAAGTAGCTGAGCGACAAATGAAATCACTTAAGGACCGGCTCATGCAAAAGGGCATCACTTTGGCATGGACAGATTCTACTGTCGACTTCATTTTAAAAAAGTGTCATGACCCGGTATGTAGTATGTAACAGTTACAGACAATGAGACACTAAACAACCAACTAACAAAAACTTTTTTTTTGTAAATGTGTAGGGGAATGGGGCGAGGCCCATCCAAAGGTACATCGAGAATATGATTGTCACCCATCTCTCTAGAATGATCGTTGAAGATGAAATTGGTGAGAACTCATGGGTATGCATCGATGGGAGTGACGCTTCGACTGAACTTATCTACCAAGTGAGAGACGAGAAGATGATTGATTAGATAGTTAGACTTTAGATGGAAATTGGAAAAATCATATAGATAGAGAATATTCTTTTTGATATGCATAGATAGAGAATATATACAAAAGCATAATTAGGCGAACTGATTTTTGTTTGACAATTTGTGACATATGAAAGAAAAAACTGATGTTGTTTTGCCATTTGGCAATGATTTTTTTGATAAAAATTTGGCATTGAAGATCTTTTGGATTTCTTCTAGCCATCTTTATCATGCTTGCTTACGCATGGTTCAAGCTGTTTTTTTTTTTTTTAATAACACTGAAGCATTCTTATGAATCAAGAGACTTGTAACCAAAGTAGAAAACCAAAATAGAAAGGAGGATACCAGTAGGTACCGCAAAGAGAAAGGTCAAAACAGGAGCTATAATTTGAGTCCAGCATAAGGAGCGTGATAAAGATGAGAAACGATCTCTTAATCTCTTAAAGGGCATAATCCCTATAAAACATATGGAAGGTAGAGATTGTACCCCAAAGCCTCACAAGGCTCAGTCCGATTCAAAGGTTGCTTTCGAATTAATGAGATTCTGACTTCCACTCGCCAACTGCTCCTACAAAACTTAAAATGTCTAAGAGTAAATGCCGAAACAGAGGATTGGTATGTGGGTGAAGAAGAAGAACCACATGGAGTGGATCAAGAGATTTGGAGTTCTTTTAAGAGATTTTTGAGCCAAAAGAGAGTGAATGAATCAAACAAGTCAAGGAAGAATCAAGAGAGAAGAAGAGGAGACAAAGAAAGATGATCCAAAGAGAGAATGACACTTGATCGACCAGCCGGTCGATGGGGTGGTCGATGGGAGCCAACAGCACCACACGGACGAAGAGCAATCGAGCGACCCATCGACCGATCAAAGGCTAGCTAAGCCGGACCGCAGGGCAGATTGATCGACCACTTGGTCGATTTACCGATCGATTGGACCCCATCCGTGACGACGTCCTAGCTCCCATCGACCAAGCCATCGGTTGATCACGCCCCAGGTAAGTTTTTCTTCTCCTTCTTTAAAAAAAAAAAAATTTAAACACAAAAAAATTTTAAACCCACGAGTCTTCCTCTCTTTTTTCTTTCTTCTTCTTCGTTTGGTTCTTCTTCCTTCTCTCACTCTTCACACACACACACAACTCTCTCAATTCTCACTTGTTTTTCAAAATTCAAAGTCCAAATTCACTTAATTTCTCCTCAAGATCACGTTTCTAGCTATCTCTTTCCCTAATTCACAAGGTAAGTTCTTATTTTCTCAATTCTCTTTAACTTCCCATAAGTTTCTAAAAATTAGAGTTTCTTGAAATCGGTCGATTAAGAGCTCGATTAGTAACTTTTGTGTTAGTTTAGGACTTTGTGATGCTTGGGTATGGATTGTTAGTGTTCAATTTGCAAGCTTTGTTGAGAAAATTGAGTTTTGATGGTCTAGGGTTCATGGGTTAGAAAAGTGACGAATTGGTGAATTATTGTTGGGAGTTTGGGGCTTTTGATCCTCATGTCTCACTCTTGAGTTGCAATAGTGCTACCTTACTCTTTGGTTTCAATTCTCTACACTCATTACATTTTAAAGGTTTTCACAATTGGAAATTCTAAGTGTTCATGAGGATGTGAGTGTATTGTAGAATTTGAACATCAATTATGTATTGTTGTGTATTGTGGTTGTTGTTTAAGAGTTTAACAATGCTAATGGCTACCACTTTGTGTCTCGCTTAAGTGTCTTAGTGACAATTGAGACATGTACTAAAATGTCTTCTATACTCTTTCTCTTGTCACTAAATTTGTTTTGAGATTCTTATAGGCACAATGGCGGGTGGAACAAAATCACAACCCAAAAGGCAAAAGAAAACAACAACCGCAAATGAGACACAAACCACACCGGTTGTTCATTGGACCACGGAAGAGAAGATGGCTCGTCGCAAGATGTCACAAGTCATGCCACTCCCAACGCGTTTTGCAAA